TTTCACCAGCTATGGACCTTGGGTATAATAAATGCATACTCAAAAATCTTCATCTAACTACTCTGGGTGTTCCTCATATGCCTTTTTCTTCCTTCCCAACTGTAGCCTCTGTACCTCCTTTGTAAATCAAGCTGGCAAACACAGTTTGCCATGTTCATTGATACAAATATTATTGTTACAATATATTTAGACTAGATATTTTATATGCAGATTAAAGGAATGTGTTTTCTCGAACAATAAAAGTGCCTAAGTGACTAGTTGGCTCAATCAAACTAAATGACAAAAGAGTGTAGGTGTTCATGCTACGTTAAAGATAACTAGCCACGACTGGGTTAATGTAAAAATATATTCAGTGTTAAATTATTGTAAGTATTAGGATTTAATGGAATTAACTGATAAAATTTGGCTTTTTGAGAGTCCTAGAAGAGTAAATATCATGTGACACTCTCAAAGTCCAGAAGCTGGTCCACCAACTCACACTAAAGAACAATTATAGGCCTGCCCATAAACAGTTGAGGCTGGTAAGTCCTGTGGTCGAGAGTTACCATTACCAATGATAGGAGTGGACACAGCCAAAGAAGCACCTTGAAGTATAGATGGAATTCCCTGCAAATTGACATCCCAGTTGCAGTCACCAAATTTACCCCACTGGTATCCACAGACTTTGTGCAGTGTTCATCAGAACTGCAGGTGAAGTGAGGGGAAAAAAATCAATGAAATTCAGGAAGTGGACTTGTGGTCAGGAACAAGCTAGATGCTGGAACCTGAGAATTAGCTACTGAGATAGCTACAAGAGCATGAGAAAAGCCAGGAGAAAAGCTGAGGTCAATACATGAACAGTAGCTATTCAATCCAAGGGCATAAAAGTCAAAGAATGAAGCATCAGCAAGTTTTAGATTCCGGAAACAGAAACAGAATTAAGAGAAATGGTAACATTGTGCTGCCGCCAGCAGTTGTATGTGTTTATTGTGTTTATTACACTTTTTCTGTGTATCTTCACCTTTTTGTATGGTGTAATTTTCTCCTTCCTCAGTAAGAGTTTCTGCTATCATTAGGCAAAACATGCACATGCGGCAAGGAAAGAAATATTCCTTTTGACCCTTGAATACAAACATCTACCACATCATGTTGTTTTCCAGAAATCTGCTGCATGCAATAACAATCATCATGGATTCCAAGTATTTAGTGAGTTCAGGAGATGAACAAATATGGAAGTATCAGTTTTCCAGTAGACTTCAAGAATGATTCATCATCAAAAGAGCAGAGTTCAGAGGTATGGGCAAGGGTAGAGGTAAGTATTTAGTCTTCTTATGCAAGTACTTCTCTTTTGTCACATACATGTCCTAAAACAGGGTCACTTTAAACAGGTGTCAATTTTTTATTACTGTTTGTGCCCCCAGTTGATGTTTCTGCCAAGTTTGACCCTAGAGTGATATGTAGCTATAAGGAAGGCACAGCAAAAGATAGTTCCATTGGAGCAGTGACTGAGATCAATGTCGTATTGCCTGAAAAGTATTGTACAAAAGGTACACTAGATGCAATACAAACTTGAATAATAAAAAAACATAATTGGTAACTTCTTGCGTGGCATATATTTTGTTTGTGTGGTGCGGGAGGTATTTACAAATCCTATTACAAATGATTCCTATTGATATGCGTCAGTCATTACCTATTCAAGAGAAGGGTGTATTAACTAACACATTTATCCCCAGCTATCTTACATCATTTTTAGCAAGTCAATGAAGCCAAGAATGCACATTAAGCCTATGCAGAACTGCAATTAACAGAATAGGTCAGCAGACAGGAAGTAACTGTAAGGTGCATTTTACTAAATAGGTGCAAGTTAATAATAAAAACCGGTTCAGTATGACAGAGACCATGCAAATATTGCAGAATAGTGAAAGCTTCACTGGCATGGAGTCATCACAGCAATGTCCATGACTCCATCAGCATAGTGCGTGACTGCATGGCATAGTCGCTATAACAAGAGAGAGTCAAGCTGGGAATCACTATTTCAGTAATGCTGTTCAGAGCACATCTACTAGAGATTATTCACATACACAGTGTGCATCACAGTAAATCCAGGGTAGTTGTGATATCACAAGTGAACAGCTTGAGTGTTCAAAAACCCAAGAAACTAGAGAAGTTCGGTAGCAATCAGGAGGGGTCTCCCCACAGTAATCCTCTGGAGAAGCTACATGCTATTATGCTACAGCACGACTGCTTGCACACCGGCTTTGACAGCAGAAAACCTTTCACCTGACTGCAGATCACTTACTTAGCTCCCTCATCAGGTATTGCCTCTAAGCTGCTGAAAGATGGAAGCTAAGGAACTTATACTCCCTGAGCATGTCCATAAACCGAGGGAGTTGTGTGAAATGGAGTTAAAAGGGGCCAGCGTCTGCATCTGAGCATGAAGAGTAAATGGGCACCCAATCCACCATTTAAAGTACAACTAAATGCTCCTGTTTAACAGTCTAAACATGTCCCAAATCAAGGTACTATGGATTGCACAAGTCTCATAAAGTAGATAAAGATTTTCCTATACCTTCCCTGACTGAGCCAAATTTACCTTCATTTGTGCCTCACATGCTCCACTTCCCAGACACTTCAGCTTACAGTGGGAGGATTTCAGCAACAGAGGCAATGCTGTCAATCCAGAAAGCAGTGGGCAGTACTAGATAGGCCAAGTGTTGATTGACAAGCTGATTGACTTATGAATCTGCAGTGACAATGCCCTCCGCAACATCACCTCATCCCACTGTAGCACAAGAAGGCACAGCCTAAATGAGTGGCAAAACTGCTCTGAATTCAGGAGCAATGCAGCATCATTGCCATAAGATCACAGGAAGCTGCCTTTAGTGGACTTCACTGGCAGGATCAACAGTTTTGTGGGACTTTGTAGGGGGAGTACAGATAATTGAGAGCTGAAGCACATACATTTTACTGGGAGGCCACAATTCTACTGCAATACATCAATCTGTAATATTTTGGTATTTTAAAAATGTAATAAACCAGCAAAAGTAGCAGCCATAATAGAATTGAAAGCCAGAGAAAGGTGTATTTAAAAGAAAATACAGCTAAAGCAGGTATAGTGTAAAAATGTACATTATTTGTTTTGTAGGTGATTTGAATGCCTAACTTGTATCCATACTATGGCAATAGGGAGATGCATTGTGGTTTGGTAACAGCAATGTGGCAGCATGCCGTGCACATGCTGTGTATTGCACCGGACAACTATCAGCAAAAACTGTATTCTGCACATCCCAAACTAAAAAAAAAAAAAAAGGCCCCAGCAACACAAAATAAAGTATACCCCACCAATATAAACCCCAAAAGACAAGCCTACCCCTCAAAACAAAAATCCCACTGATAGAGAAAAAAAATAGCCCAGAGAGAGGCTGTTGGTTGGGGGCATAGAATGTAGCCCACCATCTTATACCACAGTATTTCTCCTTACATATACCAGCTCCATGGATTCCAACCTGAAATACATAATTTCAGGGAGATGACCTCTGTCAACCCCCCCTCTCCATTGGGGGGGGGGGGGGCAACAACAAGGAAGAGAGCACCCCCTGAAAGGATGGCAGATAGCAAAGAAGCTTTTTTTCTTTTGCTATCTGTTTTTTTTTTTTTTTTTAGGAGGTCTGACAGCTGCTACCGTCAGAAAAGAAAAACGGCATAGGAATGCATAGCTAGGTTGCTATTGGCTATTTCAATTTGCAGTAGCCAATAGCAAGCCAGCTATTGCACCCCTGTCAGTCAGCAGAGGTAGACCTGATGGAGAACTTCAGGTCCATCTCTGCTGATTGATAGCAGCAGTGGGCGGGTGCAATAGGTAGTCTGCTATTGGCTATTGCAAATTGAAATAGCCAATAGCAATCTAGCTATGCATTCCTATGCCGTTTTTTTTTCTGACGGCAGCAGCTGTCAGAGCACTAAAAAAAGAAAGCAGATAGCAAAAGAAGCATAAGCTAGCTGTGCATTCCTATGCCGTTTTTTGTTTTTTTTTGGGTCACTGATGGCGGCCCCGATGTCAGAAAAAAAAAACAACAACAAAAAAAACAGACAGCACGGAAAGGTTTACTCTGTAGAGTAAACCTTTCCGGGAGAAAAGGTTTCTCTCCCGGGTGTCTGGGAGCCGCTATCTAATTGCGGGAGACTCCCGGAACATCCAGGAGAGTTGAGATATCTGCAGCTCTCCCTAACAAATCCAACACACACTGGCAATATGGCTGCTGTAAGCCCACCCTTTCCTAGAAAGGGGACTGGATCATCTATTCCTTCAGATTTATGGCTCATGTAACTCAGGTAACCAGGGATAAATGCTATACGGTGCTTTAGGAGTTGTTCCTAATTTCTGGTGCAAACTTAGCCGCCAAGAGTATGGGATTCAGCCTGAACACGAATCCAAGCGTGTTCCCGGCGGCACACTTACTGCCTTCAGGTGCTGCAACTTTATTATGGATAGCTATGGAAACATTTAAACTAATATTAGGTAAGGCAATCATGGGATATGGTGTCCTGTATGGCACTACACATCATTTGATACATGATCCAGTTATAGACTGACTTCAGAGAAAAACACAGACACAGTTTTGTTAGGTTTGCATTGATTATTCAGATTCCTTTATTGTAAACATTCAATGTAACGCCTGCCTACAGAACAGCTAATCAGGCTTGTTCGGTAAGGCAAATAGCAGTACCCCAGAAGGACCAATTAGAATTTAATCTTTCATTGATCGGACCTCAATAAACTGAAAACAAATTGGTTGTCCTTCAGACATCATCATTTCTCTTCCACTGCTTTAGTGAATAAGCCCATTTAGGCTGGCAGTTGATTTGGAACTCCGAAAATACCAGGCTCTCCCAAAAGGAAGACTTGATATATTGTCATCATTTGTATTAACCAAGTCCAATTGAGGCGTCTAGATCCCACTCGACCAAACAGATTCTGTTCTGTCAGTCGGTCAGTCTTAAGCCATCGAGTTACATTTTGTATTTGGTCCAGTAGTTCTGCTAGACACTGTTTTCATACCACCAACAGAGAGTCAGTCTGCTGTAGACCAAAGCGCTCTTTGTGTGCATTAAAAATCTCCTGCAGACAGTCTATATAGATAGTATGATAAGCATCCACTTGCTGCTCAGAAGGATTCTTCATCCTAGGCACAGGGATGGGTTTACCTACTGCAAGCAAATTAAAAATTCAGTTTAGGACAGTCAATCCAAGCAGCAGACAAGTCAGCTATTAATGAGATTTTATCCAAGAGACACACCTTGTGATACACCGAGGCTCCATTTGAAAGGCACGTGCATGTAGTAATGATATTAATCAGCATACACACTATGATGCTTTTCACTCACCTCATAGTTCTAGCCGACCCGTGACAATGAGACTGTCACAGGCCGGCTCAGTAGATCGGGAGGGGAGCGAACACATACCGGCATTCGCTCACCTCTCGATCCTGTCACGGCTCTCTGCCGTGACAGGGGAGGGGCTGGATTCCCCCCGCTCCGATCCGCCAGCGCTGACTGGCGGAACGGACGGGGGAGGGGGCCGGTACAGCTGGCTCTGCCTTTAGATAGGCAGAGCCAGCTGTCAGTCACGCAGCTGGGCGGATCCCGGCACAATTGTCGGGATCCGCTTCAGCTGCGGCCTCTTAGTATACCGTGAGCTGCTGCTCGCGGTATACTGCGGCATCTCAGTATACCGCGAGCTACAGCTCGCGCTATACAGAGCCTAGGGTGACGGGAGGACGCTAGTTTGTGTCCTCCCGTTACCCTAAGGAGAACTATGGGGAAAAGACTTAACCCCATAGTTCTCCTTTAATTAAAGTTTTAGCCTTACAGAGAAATGTCATATATAATAAAATAAATTTAAGATGAATCCTCTACTTTTATATTAGCAATGCATTGTAGATAATAATGAGAAAGTGAACTTATAAGTCCTGCATTTATATAGTGCACAATTATATAGTGGAAACATCATATATACAGTAAACTCCCCATTATCCGGCATTCAAGCAACCGGAAAAAAAATATATATATATGTTCAAGAAACTTTTGGACGATTTCTTAAGGGACCGTAATATACAGGGGTACAGGTACTCCTAGAATGAGATCCTAATAGGTTGGACTTGATGGACTAATGTCTTTATTCAACCTCAAATACTATGTAACTATGTAGCTGGTGGCTTGATGCGTTCTAAAGAACTGTCAGTTGCTTGGTGCACTCCAAAAAAGGTTGTTGTTAGCAACTAAAATTTATTTTGTTGTTAACTAAATTCTTTTGTTTACATTCTGCTGTCGACCGCGGCGAGATTCCACAGTTGGCAGCAGAATGTAAACAATGTGACGCAATAGCCAGCCTGCTATTGGCTATTTCAAATTGCAATAGCAGACTGGCTATTGTACCCGGCAACTGAGCATAGGAGCAGACCTGAGAGAGAACTTTCTCTATCTTATTAACTCTCAAGCAACGAGTAACTACAGTTATCCGGAACCGACCTATCCCTGTGGATCGGAATAATGCACATATAATTAGTTATATGAATAAGCGACATGTGGAACATTTAGCTTTGTAGGCCAAGGTAACTAGTGTTTATGAAGGACATTAAGGCTTTGTAGATGGAGGTAACTAGAGTTCATGTAGAAAAGTTAGGCCTTATAGTTTAAGGTAACTAGTGTTCAAAAGACAAAAAAGTTATAAAATAGTTTTTTGACAATAGGTCCAATCCCAAGACAGCTGTCTTCTAACCTTGATGAGTGGGAGTCTTATTAAGACAAGAAGACCCATCTAATGTTCTTGGCATGACCAAATGCAAGTATAGTACATTATTATCTGATTTTTGGGGATAATTCAAGGTAACACAGATGGTTCTACTGTTTAAATCCCTATTAAAAGGGGCCTGTGAGCCTATATTATTTGAACCCGCCTGAATTGCTGCGTGTTCCCGGCCTACTGAATAAACCTACTTCTTGAAGATCTGCCTTTTATCGATCCTCTGTTTATTCTACTTCAGTATGCAAGCGCAAAAAATGAAAATGAAATATATGTATTTGATCATGCACTTGCAAACTTGCAGAGCCATTCAGGACAAAGGGGACAGTGTCATTGCAAAGGGGTCCCCGACTTACTGATATCTTGTCAGCACTCTAGCGCTGCTCATTCCTCTGTGGCATCCACTGAAAATTCACTCTGGCTCCAAGTATATGGGAGCATGTGACTTCCTTCGATGTGACCATGCTCAAGGCTAACAATCAATTGCTAGGCCCGAGCATTGTCACATAAAATAGTGAGTGACATCACCAGGTACCTTAGTGTCGGCTCCAATGGAGGAAGAATCAGTGGGGGATCAATGGCAAGCTAAGCCTGAGCACTGTTACATGACAGAAGGAGTGACATCCCCACTAACCTTAGCCCTCAACCCAAGGATATCTTATCAGCACTCCACCACTGATTATTACCCTGTGGCAACCAGAAAAATACACGGTGATACCAGGTATGGGGGAGCATGTGACATCCTCTGAGGTGACAGTCCTGAAGTCTAGCAACCAATTGCTAGGTCTGACTACCGTCACATGACAGAGGGAGTGAGATCACCTCTCAAATTAGTGTAAGCTCCAATGGAGGAGGAATCGGCGGGTGGGGGAATCGCTGGCAAGGGTAGTATAAGTGGGTTGGGGGGTTCCCTTCGCAAAACACGATCATTTTGTCCTAAATGGGCAAGAAAATTAAAATTCCAGATTAGCACAATCAATCTGACTAATAGACACACAAGCTATTAATGATATTTTATGCAAGAGACACACCTTGTGATACACCCAGCCTTTTACTAGACATGTGTATGCAGTAATAATGACCTTCATACACAGTTCACATGTGACTGAAATGGAGGAAGAATCAGCATGGGATTGCTGGTGAAATAAGCATAGCTTGGCTTGGGGTCCCCATTGCAAGACACTGTTACTTGCCTTGAATGGGCAAGGTGACATTGTCTCTTTAAAGTGTCTCTGAAACTTTACCAACAAAAAATAAAAAATGTTGGAGCTCTGCTTTATCAAAGTGGTCCGGCTGTAGCAGGGGGGCAGGAAATAAAAGCTGCTGCAGGTATGTGTTACTGCACTTTATAACTGTCAATAGCTTTTTCATAGTCACTTTAAAGGCCAGTGTGAACAGGCTTTTGTTCACCTCACCCACACAAGTCTATAAAAATGCACAAGCCATTGAGGCAGGTTAAATCCAGGTCAACTGCACCTGCAATAAACGTTGAATCTGAATGATCTCGAAAGTGCCTTAAACCGATGTCACGAGCAGGCTGTATTTGCCCATCAAAGCAAGTTGACACAGGGTCTAATGAATATACCTGAGATGCTAAGTTGACCCAAGAGTGATATTCCTGTTACAGGTGGTTTCACCTGCTACCTTCCTAAATTACTTGAGAAATCAGTGGCAGGAGTGATCTACCATTCTTTGGAATTGTTGGTGTTATCACTCATTTGGGATATTTCTACAAATTAACCCTCGGCTCTTAATGGCCATGGCAGCTGTTCAGACCTAGGAATTGATGCATAGAGATCTAATCATTGGCATTCCATAGAAATATAATAAACCATTAGTCTAATTTTACAGCACTTGCCAAGAACAGTTTTGAGTAACCCAACTCTTAAAAAAAAAAGTGACTTATAAAGTCATTAGCACAGCTTACAGTAGATGTATCATATTTTATAAAAAGCTTATACTCTAGGACTAATATAAATATAAAAAGTAAGAAAAGTCTGCGGACATGTCATTCTTATGTTAATTGGCACTAACCCACGGTGTTGATGGCTCTTCGTAGTGGCATTATTCCTTTGGAAGAACTGGAAAAGATCCCTTGCCCAAAGAAAATGCAGGGAGCAAAACCAATCCATTGTTGAAATAATGCCTGGAGCTTCCTTTTCCAGCTCCCAGGCTCAAAGTAATATTGCTGAAGAACCTCATTTTCCCCAAAGGCATACACGGGAACCAAGAAGGCACTGTAAAGCAATGTATTATGTTACTTACACAACAAAACCGTTCCAAGAAAAACTCTATGGACACCCATAACATAAGGTGACGGTTTGACCGCTTTTTATTTGTGGCAGGGATTGAATGATCAGGCATGTTAAAAAAACCTGTTCTGCTTCTCCGCTCAGCCCCCTCACATTGTAATCAAGGAAATGATTCCAAGTTTGTCCAAGCAAAGCTTACAAGGTCATAGAGCCTTTGTAAGCATTGCTTGGAGCTCTTTATTAATAACCACAAAAAATACTTCTTGTAGCCATTTGTGAGCACCCCAAGGCCCCTTTCAGACAGCCGCTCCGATCGGGTCTGCCTGACAGTTTTTTAGGCGAGCCTGATCATATGCCCAATGCAAGTCTATAGGCAGACATGTGTAAACAGACAAGTGTCAGTTTACACCCAGCTACCCCTGGTTCCAGCTAGGCCCGAAAAAAACAGACAGAACAGTGTTCCATTTCGACGGACCAGATCGTGCCAGATCGGGGGTAATCTGATGTAAAAAGGGCACATGTCTGTTTACATCAGATTCCCCATAGACACACAGGGGGTCAAGCAGTTTGATTTTTTTGCAAGATGGAGAAAAACACTGTACAATCACGGATATCACAGCGGTGACATCCGATCCATACCCCGCTGATCAGGAGAGGATCTGTACATGGATCCACTCCTGATCAGCCCGTGTGAAAGGGGCCCAACACTTGCCGTACATTGATTATTTGTGCAATATGACGAAAGATTAAAATTTGTTCCCAATCTCCCAATATTCAAACACTCATAGACATGTAACCCTGCATGCAACCTAATCCTTGCTTACAAGAGAAACATTGTTTCCCTGGTTAAGCCAGTTGTCCTTGGCACAAACATTTCAGTAGTTTCAGCCTCCCATCAACATTTGACTTATTTATCTGTCTGACACTATTTTGTTTTGTCACCAAGAAATTGTCATTGTTAAAGCAGAACCCCAGCCTGTGACAAGACAGTGAAAAGAGAAACAGCACAGTGATGAGCTCATTTCTCTGTCATTCTGCTCTCTCTCCTATTAGCATGCTTCCTTGTACTGCTTCTTCCTCTCACATTCCAGCCCTGCTGTACAGGGATGCAAGGGGGAGATACCAGGTTAAATTCAGGTACTTAATTGATTACAGAGCTGCACCAATGTGTGTCTTATACATCTGCATAGTTCAGCTTTATTATTTTTCTGCCTCTATATAATAGATATTGTCAGTGGCTTAATGGTTAGCACCACTGATTTACAACACTGGGTATCCCCAGTTCAAATCCTGGTCAGGATACTATCTGCAAGGAGTGTGCATGTTCTCCATGTGCTTGTGTGGGTTTGCTCCCAAACTCCAAAGACATGCTGGAAGGTAAATTGGCCATGTATGTGTGTGCAATAGGGACTGTAGATTGTAAGCTCCTTGAGGGCAGGGACTGATGTGAATGTGCTGTGTAAATTGTCGGTGCACTATAAATACCTATAATTAATGAAATACTATGACAGGAAATGATCATTCTATTACTGCATAGGACAAATACTGCTCTATAAGCGACTACAAAATATGTCATGAGTATGGACACAGAGGGCCATACATGCGTGAGTTTATGAGCCCCGGAGGTGCCTGGGAGTCACAGGTGTTCCATGCAGACAGGCTGCATGCAGAGCCATGCATCCATCCCTGTATGGGCTTGGATTTGCAGGAAGCTGCTGCATCTGTCAGCTTGTCATTGATTTTTTTACAGGCTGCTGGCCATGGCTGTACAAAAGACCTATGATTTCCGTTCACCTCCCAGATGCATAAACACACCCTGTACAGCTCTCTGTGGCTGTGTGAATGAGCTCTACATGCAAATGTTGCAAATTGTTACCCATTAGTTAGGGCCTTCCTTATGAATCCCTTCCGTTTCTTCAGTGTGAGCACATGCTGATTCCTGGTACAATTTAATGCCTCTGCTGACCCACCCACAACAATTACCACTGCATTGCCAGAGCCATTGCTGGACAGGAGATAGTCAATGGATGAATGGGTCACTGAGCACATTCCTGCAATAGATTCAACAGCAAAATATTAGAACCTCTTTGATATTTTTTTCTTCATGCAAAAATAAAAGAACGTAGTATCAAACATCAAGGTTATCAACAAGCTTATCACAGACCAAGACTGTTGATTGATTACAAAGTCATTATTTAGTTATCAAAAAGGTGAAGAAGACATACTTTCAGATACATATGGTAGTGTTGCATGTTCAAACTAAAAATGGTCAAGAGTAAATGCTACTGCAGGGGTAGGCAACCTTGGCAGTCCAGCTGCTGTGGGACTACAAGTCCCATGAGACATTGCAAGACTGACAACCACTGGTATGTCTCCCAGAGGCAGAGGCCTTTGTAGTTTCACGACAGCAGGAGTGTGAAAGTTGCCTACGCCTGTGCTAGTCGTCACTTGTGGTTGAATTATATAGAGGCGTATTTGTAAAACACATTTGTCTTCACATTCTCCTTCACATTCCCCCAGTTGAATCACTTTGGCTAATGCCCAATGTTGTTATCTGCCACTCATGAATGGAAAATCTAGAACTGAGTATTTTTCTCCATATTTATAATACGTCAGTGTTATATTCGTTTTCCCTGAACACTTAGGCCTTGTTCACACCAAATGCAGAGCAGATCCAGTCAGGTTTCTGCACACGCAGTGCAGTGGGTTGTGCCGCGTTTTTGATGCGTTCCAGAGCAGATCCAGAGCAGGTAAAATAGGGCTTGCCGCAGTTTTTTCACCTGCTCTGGATCTGCACGCTGCGATGTGAACTGGAGCTCAAAATACCATAGGAATACATTGGACGCAGTTTTGATCCGGTCTGCACCTGCTCTGCTCTGGATCTGCTCCACGCTTGGTGTGAACAAGCCCTTATAACCAACTATCACTTCCAACTCGAAAATCATTGATTTTATTAGTAATATTCTATGGGGAACATGCAACCTCGTTTTGTCATCCCAAGTCCACATTTAGCCTCTGCACCCGGGGCTTATTTTATAACCCCTCCCATACCACACACACAGACGCACTTACCTGCAGCGAGAAGGTAATCTCTGTATAAAGGCACCTTAAAATTTCCAGCTAATGTGGTGAGATGTGGCCTCAAGTTGGGAAAAACCTCGGAAAATCCAGTACTGTCTGTGCCAAAGTTACAGAACGCTCCAATGCTCATGATGCCATGAGGATGATATCCAATTATGTAATTGTGTCTTGGGTCTAGATCTACAGTTTTATGGAGCTGAAAGAGGAAAAAGAGAACAGTTTACAACAATAAAAGTAACACTAAACTCAGGAGTTAAATCTTAAAGGATAAGTTCTCCTTTTGCAAAAATGAAAGAAATGCATAATTATTAATAATTATCTATCTATCTATCTATCTATCTATATAGATAGATATAAAATATGCATTTCTTTAATATTTGCATTCAAGTCTGGAAAGGCTTGCAATTGTGATCACTCGATCACAACTGCAAAGCTCAGATTTCAGGACATTCTCATCCAGGCGGAGCTGCATACTCAGGTATAGAGTTTCAGTTAATAGAGAAGGGGCTGGACTTCAATCTGCATTAAATCACCTCATACAGCGTCCAGCCGTCCTTGTTCTAGGTAGATGTGCGAATATGGACAATTCTACCTATAGCAAGGACGGCTGGACGCTGTATGAGGTGATTTAATGCAGATTGAAGTCCAGCCGTCCTTCCCCATCTCTCCTAAGGGCTTGTTCACACCAAATGCAGACCAGATCTCCATGAGTATCTGCACACGCAGTTCAGTGTGTTTTGCCGCGTTCAGCGCCGTTTAAAAAAAAAAACCGAACATTTTTTATTTTAGTTTAAAATGGGCTTTCAGTGCGTTCGCATGCATTTTTGATGAGCTTGCATGCGTTCCAGAGCAGGTAAAATAGGTCTTGCTTCAGTTTTTTTACATGAACTGAACGCTGCGGTGTGAACTAGAGCCCAAAATACCATTGGAATACATTGGACGCAGTTTTGATCCGGTCTGTAACTGCTCTGCTTTGCTCCTGGAACACTCTTGGTGTGAACTAGCCCTAACAAACTCCGTACCTCAGTACGAGATCTGCCTGGATGAGAATGTCCTGAAGTCTGAGCTTTGCAGCTGTGATTGAGTGATCACAATTGTAATGCTTTCCAGGCTTGAATGCAATTATTAACCAAATGCATATATTTTTAAAATATAGGACTTATGCATTTCTTTAATTTTTGCAAAAGGTGAACTTATTCTTTAAAAATGCATGCACGTGGCTTAAAGGAGAACTATGGTGTTAGGCTTTTCCCCATAGTTCTCCTTAGGGTAACGGGAGGACACAAACTAGCATCCTTTCGTCACCCTAAGCTCAGTATAACGCGAGCTACAGCTCGGAAGCCTCAGAAGCCTACTTCTAATAATACGATTTAAAAATAGCTATCAAATTAATCAAAACCAACTTCCTCTAACCCAGTGGTTCTCAACCTGTGTAACCTCAGGACCTACATTTGTCCTCGGTCATTAAGTCGTCACTCAAGACGCACTGCAATGGAACGCAAAGCATTGCGGTACCGCATGTTCCAGTGCAGGCAAACTGTGGGTGTGAGGTGCGTTTTGGGTGCCATTCAAATGAATGGCAATGCAATGCACCTCCCACAACAGAACGCACGGTAGGTGCAATTGCGTGGTACAGTGCGCTAATCGCATAGGACTGTGCAATTAACACACTGTACTAGTGTGAACGACCCTCAAAAACACTGACAGACACACACAATCACAGACATATACACTCCAAAAAAAATGTAATTATTTTTTTTAAGATCCACCCAGTCTCCCTACCTTACGAGAACTGAAATGGATCCCCAAGCTGGGGTCCAGTGTGGGCTGCTGTGCTGTGACAGAGCTCCATCCATATGTGCATTGTTTGTACAGCTCCCATGCGTGCCCATAGAGGTGCCAGGAGCCAGAATGTGACGTCAATTCGGTCCAGTCACCTCTACAGGACAGGTGAGGGAGCTGTAAGCAATGCATGTATGGATGGAGCTCCCTCCTGGCCATACCACCAGCCAACCCCACCTCAAGCCAACAAACGGCGATGGGCAGCATATTTTGAATAGCTGCTCGGTGCAAGAACTGACAGTGCTGCGCTAGGGGGAGGCTGGGAGCCTTTCACCTAGAAAAGTGGAAGGCATGCAGTGATCCAGTGAACGTGGGGTTGTGACCAACTTTTGGGTCATGACCCACCAGTTGAGAACCAAGGCTCTAAGCTACCTTTATGGGGAAATAATCTCTAAAATATTTCCACACGGACCATCTACTCATCCAAACGGATCGTCTCCCACCTGTAATACAAACAAACAACAATTAAAGCCGTTGCTAAAATCTGCATACAAATATCACAAATTACACTTAAGTAGGATACACAGGGTATGAATTTTGGCCGGTTCCTGATGAACGGCCAAAATTTGCACAGTGGTTGACACTGTCGGCACCCTTCCAGCGGAAATTCCTATGCTGCTCGGTTCCATCTTGTGACAGGAATGTTACGTTAATGGCATTTGTTCAGCATATGGCTGGGTGAAAGTTTTATAAACAAACCACTTAGAATGCTCATAAAAGCTTTTGGGTTTTATTTCCTGCATCACAATGCTCTAAGCATAGTGTTACTGAAAGCAGGCCACTGGAAAGGACAGTTATAGACATGCATTGGTGAGCGGAGTCATTCAATGGACTTCATATCTCTTGGGGACTGTCACTTGAAGTTTCTTCACCATAGTTCCTGGCTGTGTTCCCCACCCCTGTTCTTCCTTTAAAGATGAACTTTACCCATATCTTCAAAATAAAAACAAAGGCACCTTTAGAAATGACAATCCCCAAACACATACTTCTAGATAATTGCTGGATTTTTATATCTGCATATCTTATTTTATATGTTCTTCTCCAGTCTTCTGACAGTGGCGATTTTAACTAAGGGCAGGTTACAAGATCTCCCTTTACTTCCTGTAACTCTGGCACATGTGACCAGCACATGACCATGCACATCTCAGTGGAGGAAAATGCCTTTCCCTGAGATCTCGTAAGATTAACCCCTTCGTGACTGACGACGTACAGTGTACGTCGCCAGCATCGGGGCTGAAATGCAAAGCTTGGACACAATTACATCATTTGTGCCAAAGTGGACCAGGAAGTAGTCATAAAAAGAGAAAACTGTAAGTAAAATAAAAATATACCGTATGTTTGTTCAGCTAATGAATGCAAGATGGTTTTTATCAGCATTGGGAGCTGCATGCTGATGTGATTATTGGTCGAAGGGAGTAAAGGTCCACTTTAACAAGGATGTTTTTACTCCTTCTGAATTTTTAAGGGCTGTTGCTAGGGGAGGGTCCCAGAAACCATGTATGTATCATGCGTTTTCATGTGCTCCTATTGACTTCTATGGGAATAGTTCCTGCAGTTAAATGCTATGGACCTGCCATTTGCAGCTGCTAATTCCAAAAATGTTTACTATAAAAAATTAGTGGAGCTCTCCTCTAATAATTAAAAGTTAGATTAATTCTCTAGTGCTTTCCTGGAGACCGTTTCAGTTATTAAAGAATTCCTGTCACCAACTTAAATATAGAAGGTAAAAGCACAGAAAAAGCAAGTGTTTTATATGTATTTGCAGTGGTGTTCCTTTCCATGCATTTTATTTCACTTGCAATGTGCCTCTGAACTTGATAGAAAATTTGACTACTTCAGGCGAGTCAATTCCATAGCCCAGCCCCGTACCTTCTTGTACACCATAGTCATCTCCTCTTCTGGGTGTGTCTAATAACTCTCTGTGCTGGCCCACCTCCTACACCCCTCCCCTCACCTACCCAGATGATTTTTAATGTAGCAGATGGGGAAGAAGCAAAGATAAATAATTCAGAGTGTCAGTTGAGTGACAGCTCTGAGTCTGCTGACATTACATCCAAGATGGCGTGCCCAGCAGCTTCAGGGCTTCTGCATGTCTACACAGGTAAACATCATACAAAAATGCATAAAAATGCACATATAACCCTATGGGAAGATTGTTATTGAAATGAATGGTCTGACAACAGGGTCTAAGAGAGATACTAAAATAAAAAGGCATAGTACATTTCCTACTAACCTCTTTCTGGTGTTTTCCAATCAGAGATCATCCAAATGATGTAGATGGCAATCAGGAGCCATAGCTGGCTATACACAATCCATGTGATTAGAAGTACGCAAACAGGACCTGGCAATACCATAGAACATATTAATATGAAAGAAGAATCTGAAAGAGTAGGACAAACATCTAGATACATCAGTGCTTTAGGTGGAACCCCAGACAAAATGTTTTCTAGCAAAATTTGGAGATGTGACTTTCATGAGAATTCCTCTCACTTCCTCTCACTTCCTCTTTCTAGAGCAGGAAGTAATGAGAAGGGGATATACAGCAATAAAAACCCAATGGCGGTTTGTACCCTTCCTCTAGTCAAAAGTGTTGTGAGTCACCTGCACTCCATAGAGCGTTGTGGCCTTGCAAGATAGTGGTGGTTGTAGTGATGACGGATGGCGCCGTGTGGAACTCCAAAGTAAAGGTCAGATAATCACTAGCACACATGAAGTAGACTCTTAAATCCTTATTCAATTTATTAGATTGTCACACTTTGTCATAAAACATCAACATTTTGGGGACTCGCAGGGTCTATATACATATATATATATATTGCATAAAATTAGATTCAGTGCCAAATTTATTTTCTGTAAAGCTTAAGTCCCCTTCACACTTTTAAGCTTTTTTTCTTGGACACCAACAATTTCTATGTATTAAAAATATTAAAAATAGGGGGCCTACACCAGGCGGATGAAGGCCGCTCAGCTGTGAACAGGCACCATTGAATATAATGAGGATTTTCATGTTGAGCAGTAGATATATATATATCTAGCAGTAGATATATGCAAAAAAATGTGAGGGTTTAGAAACCCTTTAAGTTACTTTAACAGGAAAGTTTTTAGGTGGAGCTGGGCTTCAGGGCTGCATTTCTGCAGCGGTAGTAGCGGTAAGGAAAGGCAATAGGAACATACCCAGTAATAAAAAGGTGAGTATCCACTGTAATACGCTAAGAATTTGTAGAATTTCTGTGTACAGACCGTTGTGTTTGCGAATCTCTTCTCTCTGTAAAACAAATGTGAGAAAACATATTAGAAGCTGTTGTTGAAGGTCTGTGAAGTAAACTTACAACTGCATGCTTCCCTGAGCTTTCTAAAGTGGACCTAAAGCTGTAGCTGTAATTTATTAATGGGTGTAATGGGCAGTACTGCTAGCTAACTCTGAAGAGAATGGGTTGTGTCCCGAAAACGCATTTAGCTGTGTTTGTGTGATTTTGCCGATCAACGGATCCTCTGGATTGTCCTCTTATTCACGTCCTTATTAGGACAGTCACTAAGGACAAATGTCAATTGATGAGTTTACCCTTGCTCTCCATGTGAGTACATATGTATTTTTCTATGTTTTAACTGAATAAAAGGTTTCATTGCACCAGGAAAAGGCGTCCGGTGTTTGTTTTTTCTATGTTCCATGCAGTGCACGGTATCCCTGGTCTGAAACGGGGCAGCCTTTATTGTCCTCTGATCGTAAGGAGAGCTCTATTTGGTGCTGGTCTAGGTGTGTGTTTCATTGTTAAAAAGCAAATAATTACAATGCATGCTTCTGACTCTACTAACTTATAAAAGAGAATACCTGTTTGTTTGCAAGAGGTTGGGGAATATCACATTTCAAATTGCGGTTAGCAATGTCTTTTTAAAGAAGAACTCCAGGGAAAATGTTTAACCCTTGCAGTGGGGCTACTGGCTGGCTCCTACAACGCTCCCACCAGCCTCTGTCCTCCTATGGTGTAGCGATGGAATGTCCCTTGGCGTCTTCACGCCTTATACACTGCATATACACTGAGTGGCCAGATTATTATGACCACCTGACGTTTGTAGGCAAATTAGTTATAATTTTGCGCTGAAGTTGCTAGAGGGCCAGACCATTATAAATAGGGAAGCAGGTTGTTTACCACGACAGTAGAAGTGATTTTTTTCTGAAGATACGGGGAAACAACGCGATTTAACAGCCTTTGAACGGGGATGATTGTTGGCTCTCGGAGCCATGGGGCGAGTATCAGCAAAACAGCAGAATTCGTTACATGTTCAAGAGGGGCTCATTGTTAAAGTGTTTAAAGACTGGACTGTCAGCCGAAAATCTGGGTCTGAACGTGCAAATTGTGGCCGTCAGCGACTAGTCAATGTTAGGGCAGAACGGAGAATGGCAAGACTGGTACAAGACAACAGAAGGGCAACAGTGCAGTGTCAGATTCCTTGCATCACCTTTCAACATCTCCTAGAGTCACGAGGCCCAACGAAGTCATCTCGTAGCCCAACAAAGTACTGATGGGGTGGTCATAATAATCTGGCCACTCAGTGTAGAACGTGATGACTCAGAGACCTTAGGCAGCTGCAGCAGAGGGGAAGAGACGCTGGAAGGACCGGTCTAAAAGTATAACTTTTTTTATTTTTGTATCTAGACAAAAATGAGCACTTAACCCTTGCAGTTCCGGAGTAGCCCCACTGCAAGAGTTAAGAAACAATTCCCCTGGAGTTCTTTATAGCCTAATGCCAGCAATTTGTTTTATTAGTAATTTGGATTCAGTGGGAAAGAGTTGGGCCGGATGTCCATCCACATGTGTAGAGTGCTTTGGCTCCATGGCAGGGAAGCTGATGATACATTGATGCATTTAATTTACTCGACCTTCAAGGGTAGAGACATTCTTACACTCCATCATGCCTTTTTATGGCCAGCATTATTTGTGCCCTAATAGAAATCCATCCTTGTTGGTGCTTTTCCACTCCTGGAATCCTTTCTGTGGTGACAGTTCTTTCCTATCATTAGATTTGTACTCCCTATGATTCTTCATTCTCTTCAAGCCCAATCCCTCTCTGTAGAGATTTCCTAATCTATAGGGATAATTTTCCACTACTTCAGTAAATTGTATTTCTTACTATGAAACAAAACACGATGTTACCCCTAATGCCTTCTATTCTTTTTATTCTCCTCAGTGGAATAACTTACATATTTTCACTGAATAGAGTAAGTCTTCTACACCCTAGTAGTTTCCTGCAGAAAAGAAATGTTACCTTGGTTACATCATATTCCCTCTCATTGTTAAAGTGACATTAAACCCTCAGATTTGTTAACATAAAACAATACTGTAATGTGTGCCTTACTGTAATCCATGGTTGTTTCCCTTCTCTTTGCTGCTCTTCCTTTTAAATCTGTATCTCTTCTCATGCTAGGCAGAACTTCTGTTTTGCAGCAGACTGCCTTGTCTCTGAAATGGATACATGGTGTCTGTGTGCAGGTTCACAACCTGAGCCAGCACTACAGGGAGAGGCACTCAGCTGCAAATGGAAGTTCTCCCCCAGCATGAGAAGAGATACAGATTTAAAAGGAAGAGCAGCAAAGAGAAGGTAAACAACCATGGATTACAGTAAGGCACACATTACAGTATTGTTTTATGTTAAAACAAATCTGAGGGTTTATTGTCACTTTAACTTGTGGGAATCTATGGGAAAATTGGCAAACTCTTCTTCCATAGTTCCCAATAATAATGCTGTTTTTCCCCCCTGATATTGAGGACTATCCCTTCCATCCTACTGAGAAGAATACTTCTCCAGCCTGCTTCTTTAACCCCTTCGTGACGGGAGACGTACAGTGTACGTCCCGTCACAAAGTGGCTATATGACTGGCCACGTACACTGTACGTGCTGAGTTATATTAGCCTCTGTAATGCTGGTAACTGGTAAATGTAAATTCTGGTAAATAAAGCTGGTAACTGTAAATTCTCAGCAGTTCCAGTCATTAATTAATGCCTCACTATTGAGACATTCATTAATGAAATAGTTAAGCTTTTTTAAAAGCTTCTTTCTTTCTTTCATGAATGAAAGAATGAAGCCTTTACATTCAGATACGGGTTCGCTAAATAGCGATCCCGTATCCGACAGCTGAAGATAGCAGAGAGGTAGCAGTGACTCACCTCTCTGCTATTCGTTTTGACACAATTCTCATTTGCCCAGATAATTTTCTTTTCACTTGTGCATTGAGAGTCCTTGTCTTGGACATGTGTCCTTGTTTTATAAGGCAGCAGAATTTACTATTTTTTTCTATGCCTTCTTGAAAGGTCAGCAAACAGCATTCTCTACTATCCCACTGTCCATCCACCTTAGTAGGATATTGTGAGCTCAGAAGCCTTAGTAACACTGATCCCTCACCTTCTTTTACTTATGCTCCTAAGCAGATTCCTAACCCCGATTTCTCTGTGATGGATTCTGCTCATGGCAGTCAAAAATATACCGATTCCTAGAATCATATATTTTATACTCTGGCAGGAATAAATATAGCTAGCACATTTCTCAAACAATTTCGGGTATTAATAGCAGAAGGATGGGAAGGAATCCATGCTATTTTTGTTTGCCTGTTTGTATTACAATTTAAAGTGACACTAAAAACCTGAGTTAAATCTTAAAAATGAATTCAAGTACTCAACTATTAATAAAAATGGATCTCATTTGTGTATCACTCGGCTGTAGATCCTCAAATCATCTCTAAATTGGTGCTGACACTGTTGGCACTTCCGTCTGGAGGGTAGCTACTTTTGTTCCCCATGGTCCCTGTATGTGATGGAAAGTAGCCACCACTCCAAACACGCTCCCGTGATGGACTACAATCTCACGTTTAGTTTACTAATTTCTGATGAGGTAGTAATGTGATAGGTTACCCTGGAGAAATTCGTTTTCAGGGATCTATTTCAAAACAGGTTGGGTTATGGAGTTTCAGAGGATGGGAGGGACTCTAGAGAAGTCGTGGAGGTGAGCATGGGAGAAGTTGACGAGGGAGCTAGAGAGCAGTAGGTTTTGTGAGGAGTGGAGAGGATGGTTAGGGCGATACTTTGAGATGAGGTTGGAGATCTAGCTGGGGGCAGAGTTGTGGATTGCTTTGCAAGAGGTTGTTTTTAATGATAGCTTATGTAGAGGTAGCCCAATGAGGAGTAGACATGTGCACTGGCAAAAAATTAGTTTTGTTTTGATTCTGAATTTTGAGTTATTTCCTTTTTCGGGATACGGGTCCGAAATTCAATTGATTTCGGGGTTCGGATTCAACAAAATTCGTTAGCGGTAGTCTGGACGAAATTTCATTTGTTGGACGAGATTTTGTTGCAGCAAAATTACATTAGAAAAAATGTCTGCAGAAGAGGAAGAGCGTGGAGTTCCCCCAAAATCCATACCAGGCCCTTTAGGTCTGGTAGGAATTTTAAGGGGGAACCCCAGCCCCCCAGAAAATGGGGGGGGGGTGGAAAACATTCCTACCAGACCCTTTATCCAAACACTGGTCCTGCAGGGCAGGAAATGGGGGGGGGCGGCAATCGAGCGCCCCCCTCCCTGCACCTTACCAGGCCACGTGCCCTCGGCATTGGGAGGGTGTCCCCATGCCGATGGGGACAAGGGCCTCTTCCCCACAACCCTGACCCGGTGGTTGTGGGGGTCTGCGGGCAAGGGGGCTTATTTGCATTGGGGTGCCGCCCCCCCATGTGAATGAGTAAGGGGTACTTGTACCCCTACCCATTCACTAAAGGGTTAAATCAAATAGTTATTAAAAAGTCCAGACTTTTGATAAAATCCTTTAATTAAAAAAAAACAGAGACAATTTTTGACTATTCTTTTAAGTAAAACAAAACAAAACAAAAAACGGCTCCATCGATGTAATCCAGCGTCAATCACGATGCACGACGCCCGCCGACAAAATAAAAAAGTCCCGCCGCACGAACCTGACGAAAACTCGCCGCAAAATGACATTCAGTTTGAAAGTAAACAGATGGACGGAAATTCGGATTCGTTTGCATTCGTTACATCTGTAATTCGGTATTCGGATACATCCAAATTTCCGAGATTTCGAAATGAAATCGCACATGTCTAATGAGGAGGGAGTTGTAATAATTGAGATAGGAGATGACAAGTGAGTGGATGAGCAGCTTTGTGGTTTCATTGGTTAGGAAAGGGCATATTTTGGAGATGTTATGGAGGTGAAAAGTGGCAAGATTTGGATAGTGATTGGATGTGGGACTAAAAGGTGAGGTCAGA